ATCATACAAACGTTATATATCTTTATTAGTAATACCGTTTAACATTTATAGTGAAAAGTTTGTTTAAAAAAGGTGGGAAAATTTACTCAGTTGATCCACTTCTTTAAAAACGTCTCTTATTACACAACTATGTCTTAATATTTAAATAAATTAATCACAAGATTATTTTCATAAAAATATATTGATATCAGTGCACTTAATGTAATGTTTGATATTTATTTTATAGTACTAATATTATAATTTATAGTTAATAATATTATCTTTATCTTCCTTCAATAGAGATATAAATGTTTATAGATCATAATATTATACTATTATCTACTAATGTTTAAAACAGCCAAATTAAATTAGGATTTATGTCGAGTTATTAAGTCACTATAATCTTATCAATAATTAATTAAATCATATCAGTAATATTTGTACACAAAGCACAATAATAACAAGTAAGAATATTGATAAATAATAATACAACAAAAACTGTCGTTACAATACCTACATAATATGAATGATGAAAAATGAAAATGTGAATAAAAAAAAAAACGAATTTGGCTACCAGCATAGTTTTCATCTACACAAAAAAACGGGATATACATAACCAAAATTCTATGAGATTGTAGATACCGTTTTAAACTTTAAAGTCCAATACTTCACACCTTTGGAATACGGTTAGTGGACAGATTAGTTGATTGAGTGCCTCTTCCATATTTCTCTGTGATCAAATGTAAATACTAAATAATATGATAATTATCGTGTTTTGTATTATCAAATATTAATTATTAATTATTTCTCACAAAAGATTAAGGAAATTGATGAATTTACGGATTTAATAAAATACAATTATAATTAACAATTAAACTATCAACATTTTTCTGTTTTTCTAAGGTTTAAATTTTAAATTTCTAAGCTACCGTTATAGTGAGTTATTATATTTTCAATTACAAGAATGTGCATTATTTGTAATTAATTGTTTACCAATGGTCCAGAAAAATCATTTCATTTGTAAGTACAATACTTTTAATGTTTACCTTATTACTAATTAGGTTACCTACATAGAAAATTAAGTTGTTAAATGTACAATATATGTTAGATGTCCTATTATTTTAGGTTTTCTAAGAACAACGTTTAAAAACAATTTTGGTTAAAAGCTTGTAGAATTAAGTAACCTTGCCATCATACTGATATGTGGAGATTATTTTTTTCCAAAATATTAGTTATTAAGTGGGCTTCTCAAAAATAATGTAGTTCCATACCAGCACCCACAAGTATAAACAATATATATATATATATATATATATATATATATATATATATATAAATATTATATTATATATTTAACAATATATTTATTTTATTATCAAACATAATTTCAAATAAAATATTTCAATTAAATTAAATCATTTAATTTTAGATACTGAACATTTGGGATATAATGATACTCATTTTTAATGTTTGTCTGAGTTTAGTGACACCCAGATAGGTTAGCAAGTGGTGCATGAGGTGGGTTGATGATTATGTAGTTGGATAACTCAGATACCAAACATTATGGTCTATGGTAAGCAAACAACAGTAATAATATAACACAAACATTATATTACCTAGTACAGTTGCAGACAACAGTTTAAATGAACGTTTTTTTTAAATAAAAAATATTGGTGAGTAGGTGGGTAACTTTCGTTAGTCGCATGTGCTCTCAAAATACCTTTGTGTGCCACTATCTGAGTCCTATAATATAAAACACTCGTGTGCTGAACCCAGTTTCTACTAGTATGTAATAATAAATTTATTATTTACTTCAGTAAGTTCTTGTTGAAAGTAAAGGTTAGGTTCTTAATAATCATAATATTAACTAAAAACATATGTAGTGAAACACTTCACACACATTGCCTATAAATGACAATTATTATTAACTTTTATATGTTATTATTATTTTATATTAAAATATTTTCAGCTATAGAAGGTGAACTTGGGTAATTAGTTTCCATATTAACTATAAATGAATAATCAACAGTAAAAAATAATACATAATAGTAATATGTACATGACAACTGTATTATGGATAGCAAAAATGTCATTAAATAACTGATAATCAATTAAATGAAAAAAAAAAAACGAAATACATTTGTAGCTCTATTACTTTTCATAAATAAAAACAGTATCTATATATGATAGATATATCACTAAATCAATAACGTATTAACTGAAAAAAAATCAACGAAATTAAGAAAATGGCTTTCTTTTTTTTTCATATTTATTGATAATAATATAATATAATTTGTGAGAAACATAAACTATCTTGTTTGCAACTTAAGTATTGTGTTATTGCTAAAATTATTAGTCATTATATTTTTAAAAATACCTATTGAATTTAAGATTCTGAACAATGGATTGATTTTACAATGATTTATATTTTATTTTTGTGTTTCAAGAAACTTTCTTTAGTAAAAACAATGTTTTAATTTTCAAATCTATAGATGGTTTCTTTTAGCAAATCAGATATAAAAAAGAAAAAAATACAAACATTTGTTAAAATTAATTTAATTTAATTTAAAAAAATTGTTTGTTAATTATAATAAGAATTATTTTTCGTGGTATGCAATAAATTATCATTGAACTCATATTCAATAATTCCATAACAATAACTTACTTGATGATTTTTTTTTTTTACTTTTGTATATATTTCCTAATAACCATATAAATATTCAATTATCAAACTCGTTCTAGGTTTATAATGGAGCTAACAAAACAGTACACAGAATGAAAAAAAAAAAACAATTTAAAGCATATTTTTGACCTTTTTAACAAATATTCAAAGAACATCTTAAACGTTGCTCTATGTCAGTGTTGCCTTCCTTTTGCATTTAAACTATGTATTGCAGTAAATAATTTTAGACTAAATTTAATTTAATTTTGTTTAGATTATGAATTAAATATATCACTTATGTGTCCAGTTGCTATTAAATATCTTATTTAAGTAATAGGAGAAAACAATATAAACTGATTTTAGTACAATTAATATATTATTATTACAATTTTATTTTCATTGAGATTGTATTGCTTACTGCTTGAATAATCAAAATAAAAAAAATATTAAGGCAAGTCAATGAACGTTCTTCAAATCTTAATTTATGAATATTTTTGACCCAGTAAAATGGTGTAAATTTGAATTGTGATATTGGTTGGTAAATATTATACAAAAATAACAACAGCATAAACTTTGTATAAAAAAAAAATAAACTAAAAAATAAATAATAAAAATAACACCCATAGCTATTATATAAATGAAAACAATAAAAACCAATTTAAACAAAACAAAAATAAGTAATAATTCACTAAAATATATATTTTTTTTTTACATTTTTGTCTTAATTATATCTTAATCTTTAGATAGAAATAAATATAACACAATTTGTCTTATACTTTGTAAATGAATCACTTTAATGTCATTTATAAAAATTACAATACATATTATAATATATTATATTATATTCTAAATAAATAAAATATAGAGTAAAATAGTAATTTTTGGTTTTAAAATTTTCTTTAGTATAATCAAACCAATATTTTAAAATACAATAATGCAGTCTGGTCAGTACCTGTAAATCATGTAAATCAATTTTTCAGCGTTATAATAATAGTTTTATAATTTTTTTTCAGATGACATAAATTGGTAAAATAGTTAAGATGACATGAGTGAAAAAATGTGGTCTAATTTTGATTTTAAAATATTATTTTATCATTATTCAGCGTGAAATATATTTAAAGATAAAAATAATTAATTTATGGACAAAATCATTTTTTGGAGATAAATAACAATCATATTACAGAAACACCTTCATTTAAGATTTTTCCCTGAATAATGAATTTATTCTAATTCTGATATTTGAAAGTATTTTAACATACTTAATGAACATAATATTTTCAATTTCTTAAGATTTGATGAATTAATTACAGAGTGTCCTGTAAAGATATGAACTTTTACTAATAAGAATTTAAATTTTTTTAAAAGATCATTATCCTTAGTATACAAAGTTGAAAAATTCAAAAAACTACCTGTTCAAATTTTTTATTTATACTGTAACATTATGAGAACAATTATTTGCTAAATAATTTTCAGTAGAAAAAGGAAGTTGTTAGTTGAAAACAAATGTTCATAATTACACAGGACTTCCATCAAATATTATAAAAAAAATTTCAAGATTTTCAAATATGTTCTTTAGATATATTTAAAAAAATTCAAATTCAAATTCAAGAAAAGGTTTTGAATAAAATCATTATTTAAAGAAAAATAAGAGTTAGCATGGATGTTGAACTACTCCATAAACTGAAGAACATTCAATTGTTATTTTTTTTATTTACTGATACAAAGAAATAATTTCAAACATAAATATCATTCAAAATTTACTGATATTATATCGCGATGTAGAAATCCCTTTTTCATTTTTCTTAATCAAATTTACAACACACTAAAGGAATTTAATCCATTTATTTTATTAATATTATATTTTAATACTTTTTTTTACATAAAAATCACTACATGGGGGGCTGAACTGTTTTCACATTACTTAACCTCAATATACATTTTTTTTAATACCCAAGTATTATTGGTACACCAACATCGTACATATTTGTTTTACAATAATGATTATTTTATATAATTTAGATACCTTAGAACCTGCAAATAAAATATGATTCTTGAAAAATAATAAAAAAATTAAAAAATTTCAACATCGCGATATATCAGGAAATTGTTAATCGATATTGTTATACATAACTGCAAAATATGTATTTTTTAACAACTTAGGCTTTCTGTTGGTAAATTGATTCATTATAATATAATATAATATCAGGCAATTTAAAATGTGTCATCATAGCGATGGCACAATATAAATTTTCACGCTAAACAATGATACATTATAATTATTATATAATAGTCATAATAAATATAACATAATATATAATAAATAATATTATATTAGATAAATTTGATATTTAAACTTTGGTTAATATATATTTAATTTAATTAATCACCTAATATAATTATTGTCAAACAAATCACATTCACTCGTATTCTTACCAAATGTATAACTTTTAAATAATTTCCTCATCTGAAATCAATATGCGTGTATGTTCATTTACATGGATATTACGGTCAACCAATTTTTGTGAGTGTACCAAAGGTTCATCGTACTCGCCGCTAGAAGAACGACTTTTGTAGAGTACAGGACCTGTGTATGGCGTCGCAGCATTATCTAACAATATATTATTACTTCCTTCTTGTAAACGTACTGAACATAATCTAGACCGAGTTGATAATTTTAGTCCACTATCAGAGGAATCTGTTAAAGATACATTGTTTTCAAAATATGATGTCAATTCTGGTTCTGATACAAGAGATTCTGAACTTTTAGTAGTCATTGGTTGTTTACTATGTTTAGTGAAGGCGCGACCTCGCTTATTAGAAGAATCAGTTAGAGGTGAATGACATTCTTGTTGGTCTGGATTAAAGTCACCACTTTTATTAGCACACGAACACGTAGAACAGTGCCGTTGAGTTAACCGATCTTTGACTCTTTCTTCTAAAACTTTTGCTAAGATTGCTGCTGAAACATTGTTTACAGGTTGTGCTGAACCTTCTTCTGCGTCTCTTGACGACTTAATATCTTTATCTATAAAAATATTATTTTTTATCATTATATAGACTAAGATGCATATTATTTGAAATTATGTTTATATATTTTGTTACTGTTATTAATTAGTGTTGGTCATTGTGTTTGGGATAGATAGTGCAATCAGGATTCATACATGAAATAAATAAATCTTACACATGTAATTTGTGCTATTCTATTTTCTATTACGATTAACCCAGATAGATACAATACATTAAATCAACAGGACATATTTAAAAACTAACATTAGTGATCAGGATATATAATATATGAAAAATTTTTGGTAACATACCGAGAAATTGTGTAACCTTCAATGCACTCGTTCGATATATTTTTTTAAATAATTGACTAAAAATTTAAATTTAAAATAGTAGAGTATATTATAATAATTTAAATTATCAGCTATTCAAGAATAAATTACAAATAACATAGTTTAAATTTAGCTGTTAAATATAAGGTATGTATAAATATGTTAATTATCTCAATTTGTAATAAAATAGCTTGCATCAAAATATGTTTAACTATTTTTTTTCATGTACTAAGCGTCTTGTATTTCAATAATTTATCTCTTTGAAAACTGTATTAATATTTAAAAAAAAAATCCAAGACTCATTACAATATAATAAATATGAAAATTATTTTAAAAATTACCATTACTCAATGAATAAACCATTGCTGTCGGAGGAAATGTAGGAATTGGTACTTTTATAGTTTTTCCTTCTGATTTCTGTGCTATGTTACCATTGCCATCTGACAATCTTCGTTGTTTGCTAAAAATATAATTTCGAACTTTGGATTGTATTTCACTTGGCAGCTATAAACATAATAAAAATATTTTAACATTTATTAAACAACAAATTTTCAATTTTGTACTTATGTACCAAAAGTTTAAAATTTTCTATTTTAGTAATATATATGGCTATAAATATGTGCAACATATAATAATAACTGTTACAATATTTACATTAACTTACATTATCATATTTTTGAGAAACAAAATGCGATGGTTTACACTGAAGTAATTGGATAGCAATATTTAGATCATTTTTATACCTCTCCTGTAATAAATAAATTCACACAATTGAAAATATATTAATTGTTATATTAGTAATCATAGCAGATATTATTAGGTTTCAAATAATGACAAAAAGTAAAATATTGTATCTAAAATTATATTAATAATTTAATACTAGTTATTTATGAAATAATATTAATAATTTGATAAAAGTTTGCTTAAAATAAAATTGATAATTTAATATAATTTTGTTTAAAATAATATTAATAATTTGATAAAAGTTTGCTTAAAATAAAATTGATAATTTAATATAATTTTGTTTAAAATAATATTAATAATTTTTAAATAAATAAATAATTAACATAATTATTAGTAACTTTAAAATAAATTATTATCTAAAGTCAGTAAATATGAAAAAATTCTTTATTTATCCATTAATTTATAAAAGGTAATTCTTAATTAAACGAGATTATTTTAAATAAAATGTGTTGGTATTTCAGCATAGTTTTATAGGAATTTTTTAGTTTTTTTTTTGTTTATCATTTAGTTACCTCCACCATGTTTTATTAGTTAATTTATGTTTCAAATGTTGTTGATATCAAATATCTTGTAAAAACATTTATCTAATACATTTTTAACAAGTTTTTATAATAATTACAACTTACATTTTCATCATTTAATTGATTCAGTTGAAATTGTTGGTCAACCAGTTTTTGAGATATTATTGTAATTTCTGAGTTTAATACATTCTTTTCTGATTCAGTTTTATCAACAAGTAGCAATAATTTATCCTCAAGACTTTGGTTAACTCGTTGAACTCTCTTATGTGATTCTAATAATCTAAATAAAAATAATTTATTTACAAGGTTTAATTTTATCAAAAGACATGGCTATTTTCAAAACATTCATTAACAGTTATTTACATTAATAAATATAAAATATTAATAAACACTTAAAAGTGCCTATGTAAGTCTATTATGGACCTTATTACTGTATATTTATAGAGATGAACATTCAAATAAATTATGAATTAAATACTGTCTAAATTCATTGGTTAGGTATGAAAAATAAAATTTGACCTTAAAAAATGTAGATATTACAATAATATGTTTTAATTACTTATTTAAGTTAATATAACAAAAATTAATAAAAGTTGATTACCTAGAATATTTGTCTTGCCATATTAATATTTCATCTGTTAGTGCAGCATACTCCCCATGAGGGAATTTTTCCGCTTCACAAAGAAAATTAGTCTCCATGTTGACAATGTGATTTTCTCTTTCTAATAGTTTTTGTTTTAAATTTTCAATTTCGGCATGTAAATGTAAGCTAGTCTGCTCGCAGCTACAGTCCTAGATATAAATATGAAATACATTTATTTACCTATTTACTAAAAAAAAAAAAATTACATGCAATTAAAACAAACTATTGTGTTTAGGTAATAACAAACAACCAACTATCTATAACACAATAAATTTTAATATGGATGGACATCTAAATAATAGATAAACATATTATTTAGATGTCATGGAATTTAATATAATTAATGATGTATCGGAGAAAATTAAATTTACTGTAGATAGGTACATAGACAATTGAACAGACATATGGTACAGAAAAATAATATTCCAAGGATGAAGTTTTGACTGGGTTCTACCTCTAGTTAATTGATAAATTTACAATATTGTGAAACTTTGGCTACCGAGATAGATTTGTATCTCAATCAGATAGTCAAAAACCGAGAGAAAAAAAACAACGAAACTATCAGCCAAAAGTCAACTGAAACGACAGGCAAACAACCAGCCCACAGAGTCCAGTCGTTGAGCCTACCGTAAGACTTCACGCCGATCTCAGCGCCGCACAGGAATTTATTATTATTATTATTATTATTATTAATAACGTTGTACTCACATTTTTGGCTGGGGCCCGCACTGCCATCGGTGCTTAAGAGTACGCGAGCGGAATGACGAGGATTTCGCGCGCGCTGGCGGCGACGGGACAGAATTATTACGGTGACCACCGGCTACCGTCGGAACAAGTACGGCGCCACGACGGCGAACAACGTACACGTCCGAACGTCGACGTTCGGTGTCCGTGTGTGACGACGAGCGCCGCGCGTCGCCAGAGCGAGAGGAGCACGTCGAGTCGGCGGCGGCGGCAACGAGCACAAGCGCACACGCACACGTGCGCGCGCAAAGGGCTGCCCAGTAGCACGGACGACCCTGCGGATTGACGGCGGCGACGGCGACGGCGATCGTGTCGACGCCGAAACGACAAACGAAGACGATAAAAATATTATGTTTAATAATAACAGTATCGCGACCGTCGATGTTGTTGTTTTTGTCGTCGTATCAGTCGCACAAAAGTTGAAAGGTGTTCTGTATTATTAAGCGGTGATAACGCGCGATACTGAAATGTAGAACGCGGTATTATCACGGTATTATTGCTCGCGGTATCCGCGGTATGTTACCCAGGTTTTGCGCGTACCGTAATAACATTGTCGCTGTTTATGCGTTTACGCCGTTCACGGTGTACGTGGTGACTAGAAAACGGTTTTATATCCACCGCAGCAGTTACGATTGTATTTTTATATTTACGAGTAAAAAAAATAATAATAATAAAACTATATGCGAACAACCGTGCCTCCGTGGATTTACGACCGTTTTAACGTTACCCATGACGTGAAAAGTGGTGTATTTAGATTTTTGTCGTGGGGGGGGATATGACTTTATAAATGAAGATAGGTACCAATGAGAATATTGTACAATATATTTCAATATTTTGATTCTTGCAAATTTAATCATTGGTTGAAAAAAAAATATATATATTAATAATTTTTTAAATAATATGATGACTATAATTATTTGTGTGTATACAGTCTATGGAGGGATTTATCCCCTTGATTCCCTTCCACCCGTAAATACGCCACTGGACGTGAATGCGGCAAGTAAACGATGATGATTCCGAGATGTAAGTCTGTTCCGATCACGTATTATTCACATATCATGTACCTATTATTCATATTTCTTATTTGACTTCATGATTACAGAATCGCGATCTGAGTTAATCAGTTATTAGATGTCTACCTAAGTTCTTACTACATTTACACTGTCGTCTATGTCTGTATTCCGCGTGGTTCGTGTTCAAAATTGTTTTGTTAGGTACCTAGTTATTCATTAATATTATTAATCAATGTTTGTGTTGTTTGGGTATAGAACGGTTTTACTATAGTTGTAGTCATTAATAACCTCCTCCAAACAAGCATTGGATAATGAAGTAGGTAGGTAGTAAAATATTTTCAACTATTTGATATTTTATGAAAACAAATCATGATTTTATTGCACTCAAAACTTTTAATTCAGAAACAATGTGGTATAATACTTAGCTAATAGGTGTAGTAGGTAATAATCGATAAATTATAATTTATAACACTTAAATGAGGTACAAGGGCTGATTGTCATTACAGAATAATAATAGAGAATATATTTTGGATTTGGAATATTATTTATTATAATATTGTTGCAGCGTCACGTAAGTATACCAATGATGATTTCGCGGTTGTCGTATTAATTGTATTATGCAGAAAATATCATCCTCTTGTTATCTATTGACTTCTTGTATTCGTTAACATCGATCTTAAAACATACGGAAACATAATAATAACGACAATAATTTATATTAATGATGAAAGTACCGGCGACCAGCCCAGAAATTTGATATTATAGATGCGAGGTAACAATATTTTCATAAGTGTATTACAGTGTATCTAATTTATAACCACACAATCATGTTAATTAGAATAGTGAATTTTTCTAGTCATTTAATGTAATTTAATTAATCTACTAATTATCTCTATTTTAATTATTCTAATTATTTATTCTATCAATTTTTAAAAATATCAAATTTTAAAATTTTTTACACACATATACTTAAAACTAAGTTCTAATGAATAATATTATTGAATTATAACAAAACAACGGTATTTATAGTTTAAATATGCAATTTTTTCCAAATTTTAACTTAAAATGTTTATAAATAAAAAATATGCTTATATATTTTTTTTAAATTTTGGTTTTATTATGAACTACTTATAAGTAACTATGTATTATATTTTAATATTTAAGTTAGACAAATTGCACATTTTATAAATTTTTTAAAAATTTAAATATGAAATGAGTATAAAATTAAATTGTGTCTATGTATTTTTAAAAATTTTATACAGAAATAAGAATAACTTACATAAGATTTTGTATTCAATTTTTAAGGAATTTGACCCAATAAATACATTTTTATAGACAAAAATAACTAAAAAAATTGAAAATTTGTTATACTTATCAATAACTTAAAAAGAGTTAAATATTTAAAAAAAAAATTATTACATAATAAAAATAATATCATAAACACATACTTAGTGAAAATTTTATATGTCTACTAGCTGTTACCTATTTGTTTAAATTAAAGTAAAATTAAAAAGTTAATTTTTATCAAAAACTGGTTTAGCACAAAAATTCTTGTTTTCCTTATTTTTTTTTCTCGATCATTAAGAAAGAAGAGAATTACTGAAAATGTTTTACTTTTAACCCTCCAAAGTACCAATTTTATGCTATCTTCTATTAAAAATACCTCTACGGTTGAAAATAGAAATATTTTTACTACCTAAAAATGTAATAATAGGCAGATAAAAAACACATCATTTTAAATCAATGCATTCATCAGGACTGCTCAGAATCTAAAAATAGTCTATCTAAGTCTGTAAAAAAAAAAAATGGCATTGTTTTTTTTGGCAATGATATTATGATTATATTTTAAATATTATTTATACAGTATTTGATTTAACTCCCTAACTAGTTGGAAATTATTTTAGATTCTATTATTCTTCTATACGTACCTATATCTTAATAACATATATTCTATTCGTGTTATTTGTACTGTTTAATAACTTGATTAAATGTTTTATCTACTTTTTATTTTTAGAATAATATAATAGTTCATGTATGCGTTATTTGGTAATATTTAATAAGTAGATCAGTGTGTCATCATGTTATTTAAAGCTCTTTTACTAAATTCTTTTGCTAAATTTTGTCTTTTTATATTTGGTATAGCATAATGTAATTTATACTTATAACTCCGACTTCCAAGTTTACCTACGTTAAAACGTTTAAGTTTTTGAAATTTAGAGCGATTGTAAAAAAAAATAAGTAATTTTTAACATATTATTTAAAAAAACATAGTTGTGTATAGTTGAAATACGATACGTCGATACCTACATAACGTTTAATTTCTCATCAAAATTTGGTTCTTAGATAATATAAATAAGTTCCTAGAACGGTTATAGTATAGGTAGTGCCTATATTAACGATATCAATAATTAAAAATATATCGTTGGCCAACACTAATAGGTACCTACATAATTATTGTGCTCCCGGTTTTTACCACTGATGGCAATTACTAAAATCGACTTTTTAAAGTTATGCGCTTACTTTTCAATCAATTCATTTCGAACAAAACTTTTAAAATAAATTAACTACAACAAAATTACTTTTTGAGAACAATACATCTATACGTCATTGTACATATAACAATTACTCGTTCCAATGAACTCATAAAATAACTTACGTGAAATACTTACCCTAATTAGATTTAGTTTGGTCATTAATAAATGGTCAGACTTTTATCTCGAATTGTTTAATTGATACTAGGAGGTATATACTTTAATTAACAAAAATAAAAATAAATAATAATAATAGTTATAAAAAATAAAGATAAATCTACAAGTAAAATAATAAATGGTAGCTCAGATGAAAAAAGATAGATATAAATTCGAAATATAATCAAATTATTTCTAGATGAATCTAAAATTCAAAATCAAATTAATATTTAAAATTTCTAATGCAATAGAAAGTTGTGGTATATTTACTACTTAAGTATTTGGGCGGATTTATTATTACACTTTTCGCTATAGTATACACTATATACCTAGTTATTGTGTGTTATTTATATAGATATTTAAACGTTGTTATTTAACCCATTATTATTGAAAAACTTATTGTGTCACTAATATTTTTGATTAAAAAAATTAATATTCTTTTTTAAATAAAAAAACAGTATCTGTAAATTTTTTGAAAATTGTTATAGTTAACATAGTCATAATATTATAATAATTAATGAATATTTCAATAAAATAATTTAAATAAATATTAAACTTGTATAAAAAAAATAAAAGAAATGTAGTAATAATAAGGAGTAAGTATATTAATTATATTATTATTGAAACTTTAATAAGAATAATGGAATAATGTAGTTCACAGTAGATAAGTATTTTAAAATAGATATGTAGTTTTATAAATCACTTATAAAAATAATATTAAATGTAAATACTCTATATTGTTATCTAATAAAAAAATAAAATTAAAAATCATCTTACTTTAGTTATTAATTTATGTATGCACGTAAATACGCTGTAAAGATTAATAATAGTTATTGCAATTTTCTGAAAAAAAATTCAATAAATAGGTACCGATAAAAATAAGTACCATTAATATCAAACTCTTAGTATGAAAAGTCTCGTTAATTTTTTTTTAATTATTCTCCCTAACGAAATAAAAATAAAATAAAAAAATAATTTTATTTTGTATAGTCTGTATAAAATTATACCGTAAATTATTTTGATTTTTGATCGGTTATTATTTAGATAATTAAAATATTATATTAATATATTATGTATGCGTAAAATAATAACTAATGTACTTTTTAATAGGTACTCATACCATTATTTTATGCAATAACTAACGGTCTTATACATTTTACATAAACTTTAACAACTAAGGTCCATTAGGCATTAATCATTAGGTAATAATAATAAACAATAATTATAATTTATAATAACACTATAAATTATGTTGTATTATAATATAATGTACACATATATATATTGTATACAGAATACATATGCTTATATGAATACATGATGCTGATGATTTTCAAAACGTTAGCTTTGCTTCATCTGATATAGGGTATATTTATCAAAATAATACACATAATAACGCACGACTTCATATTTTAGATGATTAAAATTAGTAGATACAGCTAAATGTCTTAAAACTTTTGCGTAGAACTTATACGTTTTAATTACGCGTTAAAAATTAAATAAAAACATATAATAAATTATAAATTATAATGCTATAAACTTATTACATGGCATTATATTTTTATTAAAACATAATAAATTAATTATTGAAAATGATAAATTCGTTTCACGTGATTTACAATAAAATAAGACGCGAGTCTTAAGGTTAGGTTATATATATGCTATATATTATGTATGATGACAATAGTTTATATATTTTTTATTGTATATTATGT